ACCGAAGTCCCAGATGCCAGCGCTCGCATGCGCCCACCGCACCCACTCTGAGCACACCCCTCACACGCTTCGTGGCCCCATCGGGAGCTCCACCGAAGGCCCACCTGCCAACGCTCGCATGCGGCCTCCGCACCCATTCTGGCACACCCCTCGCACGCGTTGTTGCCCCATAGGGGGGCTCCACCGAAGGTCCAGATGCCAGGGCTCGCATGCGCCCGCCGCACCCATTCCCTCATGTGTTTCGTGGCCCCATATTGAGCTCCACCGAAGGCCCAGATGCCAACGCTCGCATGCGCCCACCGAGCTCATTTTGGCACACCCCTTGCATGTTTCGTGGCCCCATAGGAAGCTCCACCGAAGGTTCACATGCTAGCACTCGCATGCGCCCACTGTGCTCATGCACACCGCTCACACGTTTCGTGGCCCCATCGGGAGCTCCACCGAAGGCCCACCTGCCAACGCTCGCATGCGCCCACCGCGCTCATTTTGGCACAACCCTCACAAGTGTCGCACGCGGTGCATACGACGAAGGTGCCAACAACTGCATCTGATTGGATTCTTCGCCAGACTATGCGTGTCACATGTTCGGCGTTTCTGGCTTGTTCTGGTTCCCGTCGCTACAAGACGGCCCGAGAGGCTCCCAACATCGCCCAAAGACTGCCCAAGAGGCCCCCCAGACGGCCCCAAGACAGCCAACGAGGGCCCCAAGACGCTCCAAAAGGCCTCCAAGACGGCCCCAGAGGCCTCCTAGAAGGCTCCCACAGGGGTCCCCCAAACGGACACTTCGAGCCCGAGGCTCCCAGAAGCCCCCAAAAGGCCCCAAGAGGTCCTCAAGAGGTTCACAAGAGGCCCCAGGAGGACCCCAAGAGGCCTCCAAGAGGCCTCCCAGGAGGGCGCCAGGAGGCACACATCCCAGCGAACAGCCGAGGGGCCTAGGACCCACGATCCAAGCACGGTGGGGCGGGATGGGCCGAAGGCCATTAGAACTCACACCAGCGCCACGTAGTGCCGCAATGGTTTAGCTTGTCCGCTCAGTGACATTGGGCAGCAGCCATGCGCGAGCGCCCACAAGCCGCAGCAAAAACACAGTTTTCGCTTGACTGAGGGCTGCACGTGGGCTAAACTGGCAATTACATATAATACGCAGCAAGACAATGGCGCGAAGAAAGCCCTCGCGAAGTTCGTAATACGAGCACGTTCCAGCGACAGGGTTCGAGAACGTGGTCGCAACGTTCGTCACCATTAGCTCAGGAATGTGGCACCGCATGAGATTTGCGATGCTGGCTCAGGTCAGAAGGCCAGGCAGGACTCGGGGGTCTCTGGGCGCATCCTGGGCTAAGCGCCGCTTGGGAACCGCTTTGGGCTTGCTGGGGCCCTCTGGAGAGCCTCTCTCCGGGCCTGTTGGAACCCTGAACGGGGCCTCTTTATGGATGTTGGGTCCGTCTTGTAGTGGATGGCTCGAGGGCCGCCCCGCTTTCCATCTCGTTGGCCCCCCCTCGGGGTGGTCTTGGGGGCTTCTGGGGCCGTCTTGGAAACTTCCTGGGCTGCCCTGGGGCTCTTCTGAGCCGTCTTTCGGCGATCATGGAGCCTCGTAGGCCGCGGTGCCGCGGCCTCCGGGTCGCATCGGAGGCGGTCTGGCGGCGCTGAAGCCCGAAAAGGCGAGACGAGCTCTTCCCTTGAACGCGTAACAGAGAAATCCACGAATGCTGTTTCGTGGGGCCCTATTGTGAGTCCTCTTGGGGCCTCCTTGGGCAGTTGGGGGGCCTCGCGGGCCGCCTGTAGGCCACGCGAGGCCGTGCTGATCCAGGGTTGCGGGTGTGCCCCTCTTCGGGGTCCCGTGGAACTGTTTTGAAGCCGTCTTGGGGGCCTGTTCGGCCGTCTTGTTGCCCTCTTGGGCCATATTCGGCCATCCTGGACCGTCTGGGGGGTTGGGATGAACATGTTCTGGGGCGGTCTGGGGGCCTCATGTTGGGTGTGTTGGGGACCTCTTGGCCTGTCTGAGGCGATCTTGGGGGCCTCTTGGGTCATCGCATGTGCTCTGAAGGCCGAAATAGTGGCAGTCTACGATGATATCTATATATATATATACATATATATATATATATAGATATACATGTATATATTATATATATATATTATATATATATATATATATATATATGTATAACACGTTTGCCTCTCGGGGGCTTCCTGGGTGTCCTCTCGGGGCCCCGTTGGGCTGTCTTGGGAGCCTGTTGGGCCGTCTTCGGAACTTTGGGTCGTCTTTGTCATGTCTTGGTCGTCTTACGGGGGATCTTCGAGGCCTCTTTGGGGATGCCGTGGCCTCTGCGGGTCTTCTGGGGCCCTCCAAAGCTGTCTTGGAGGACATCGCCTGCCGCATCAAGAGGGAACGGGCGACTGCCCAGAGCTCTTCCGCCTCTCCAGGGCCCCGAAGCAGTCATGGGGGTTGGGGAAGCTACGGTGCCCAGACAAAAAGTGTCCACACCCATGGCGGGAAGCCGATGCAACATGATAACAACCACAACTGTGAAACGCCCTTGCCTTGCGCCCCTCCCCCCTGGGGAAGGGGGGGTATACATGTTGGCCCGACGTACTTTAATGACTCCAGGTCTTAGCAAGACACATGCGGACACTGTTAGTCCATCCGCCGTACCCCCAGGGTCCCCCACCCTTGTCGCCAGAGACAAACAATACACACCAAACGTTGGCGGGAAGCGAAACGGATCCGAGAGAGGCCATAAACCTCTGAAGCGGTACCATACGGCCACGGATTGTTGCGCGCCTTTCGCGAGCGCTCGAATTCTAGTCCCTGGAAGCCCAATGCACGGGGATCGGCTCGAGTAACTGTCGCTCCCGGCTTCGGCCGAGGAAAACGACGGCAACTCCCTCGGCCCTCGAAATAGAGGCCCTGTCTAGGACGCGCCACCTGACGCGTGAGTAATACGCGCCGCGCGTGCAATCTACCCTGCTTGGTGAACCGCGGCCGCGCGCTGCACTTGGCGAGGTTGACGCCGCAATGCGCGGGGGGGCACGGGGGGGGGCGGGCCCGGACACGGTCAGCATGGCCATGATGGGTCACAGCAAGCCCCTGGTCCACGACGACGCAGCGGGCAAGCAGGGTGACATGTATTTATCCCCCCCGCCCGGCCGCGGGCCGCCCGCGCGGGGATCGCGCGGACGAAAATGCAAACATGCGCCGCCGCGGGGGGGGGTCCCCGGATTCTTCTTGGAGACCCCATCGGGACACCTCGGAAAGATTCGTTTGCAAGCCCCACCTTGGAATTTCAGACGCGCAGACACGGGAGGGCGATCCAATTGCGCGGGCTGCCTCGTGGATCGCGGAAGGACAGCGCGACGGCAACGCTGCACTGGGCCCAGAGTCCACGGCGACCCAGCCACACCACTCACGGCGCCGAGAAGACTTCGTCGTGCGGGAGGAACGCCAGCATTATTTTTGCGATTGCAGCAAACATGCAAGGCGTCGGTGTTCCAATTCTCGGCGTCGCAAGCCAACCAGACAGACGCAAGCAATCTCAGAGGGGGATGTTCAGCGGCAGAAGGCGAGCCCCTTCAGACAAGCCACGAAAGTTGCGGACCAGTACTCTACCAACAGGGATACGAGCTGATGGGTCGAAGGGCCCTTGCGAGCAGGGCTGTGTTGGCACGGGCGGGACAAAGCCAATCTCGTTTCTGGTCTGAGCGGTTGGGTTTTGAAGCGTTTGGGCATATCCAGCCCCCCTCTCGTCCACAAGTGCTACCTTCTGCTTGCCTGAGGGGGTGGTGAACTGGGGCGGCGGCGACGAATCCGCGAGCCATGGTTGGGGGGATGCCACCCTATCCATTGAACCATTGCCCGCTTTCCGACCCCACCTCTCGAAACATCTCTGCCCCCAGTCCCGTCGCCGTCGCGCAACAGCCTCAATGACGAGGATGGAATAGAAATTTCGCCGCGCCAGTCTGTCATCAGCGTTATGCTCCGGGCACCGACAAGAGCGGGCAAGGCGCAAGGCATCCGCGCAACAAACACATCTCAGCCCCAAAACTATGCTTACACCCGAGGGCGAATTGACTTCGCAACCCGCCAGCGGCCGGTCACATTTCGAGAACTGCCCGCGGGAATGCCGACGCGGACGCGTACATGACCTCCCGAATGCAAGAACAACCGAATGTGCACTAAAGATGTTTGGTCGCAGTGGCTCGAAGGCAGAGGAAGGACACTGCGGGGCCTCATTGGGCACAACAGGTGCGGGAGGAGCACGCGCACTGGACAGACCACGGGACAACCAATCCCAAGCTGACCGAAGACGACCCCGAAACGGCCCCACGACAACTCCGAAATTGACCATGGGCGGCTCCGACAAAAAGTCCCCCCCCCCGCCGCACATGCTTCCCCCCTCCCCTGGCCGATACTATTATTTGTTGTCATCCTGCTGGTCCTCCTCTCGTTCCTGCTGTTCCTGCTCACCCCCCTCCTCCTCCGCACTGTGAAGCCCCTGTGGGGCGATTCCAGGACTCGCATGAACCCCCACGGGGCGTTCCCAGGACCACCCCGTAGGACATCTGTGGGACCCAGCTGATATTTACATGCTCAACGTCACCGCAGCAACTTTCCCGTCGGACGATATGTTCCTCCTTATCCAATTCATCCTCATCTTCCTCTTTCCTTGGCCGGCCACGTGTCAAACCACAGGAACATCACACATTTGAAGCGAACTCGTCACCCACTGCGCAAAGCGTCGTGTTGGCTTGCGGCTTCGCGCGGTCGAAACCACACTTAGAGGCGTGACGCACCAAGGGGGACGCATACAAATCCAGGTTCCTTCTCATTGGGCACGAGATCGCGAATTGCACGACGACTTGCCGTCTGAAACAGGTGGGAGCCAGAGGAACCGACCAAGAAAAACGCGGCGGCGACAACATCCTGAAACATACCCCTGTGGTGGCGCACGCACGTCGTCTCCTTGAGCGCCCCGCCCATGTGAAGCCCCTCCGTGCGGAAGGTGAGTACCCGGCCTTCTCAAGATGGTCGAGCCGAGCCGACCCTGCCGCAGGCCGAGAATGTGGAGAAGGCCCAGTCCAAGTCGGAGGACACACCTTCATTGCGAAATACGGCCTCACGGACTACTGCTGCACCATCCGCAACACGGTGCAGGAGGAGAAGCTGAAGGACCAGTTTGAGAACGGGGACAAGGAGACGATCGAGGAGGCGGTGCAGAACACCCTTTGCTGGCTTGGCGCGGCCAGGGTGACGGACGCGATGAGCTACAAGGGCAAGCGCAAGGAGCTGGAGGACATCGTCAACCCGTTGCTTCTCAAGGTCTTCGGGCACGGGTTCCGCGAGGACCACTTCGAGGCGAAGCGTTGCCTTGCGAACTACTGCTACACGGTCCGCAACGTCCTGCAGGAGGAGAAGATGCAGGACAAGTTTGAGGACAGCGTCAAGTGCAGCGTGGAGGATGCGGTGCAGAAAGCCTTGGATTGGTTGGACAGACCCCAGATCACAGCCGTGGCAGGCTTCGAGGGTAAGCGCAAGGAGCTAGCATCGTCAACCCCTTGCTGCTGGACGCCTTCGGTTCTGAACGTAGCGAGGCCGATCTTCTGGCGAAGTACGGCCTTGCGAACTACTGCTTCACCATGTGCAACACCTCGCAGGCGGAGCAGCAGCAGAACAGGAATGACACGGTCGCGTGGCTCGAATCCGAGCTGGCGGCCGAGAGGAAAGGCTCGACGCAGCTCAACGCCACGGTCGGGATGCTCGAGTCTCAGCTGGTGACTGCGCGCGCTGGCATCGCGCAGCTAAGCCAGCAGGTCATGGACCAGACGACCCGCAGGGAGGAGGCCGAGAGGGCTCTCCTCTTTCTCGGGAATGCGTCGGGGCTGGTGGCACGGGATTATCTGAGTGCCGCAGGTGAGCCCCCGAATCGCTGATTGGGCCTCGCCGAAGGGCGGGGGCCCAGCGGACGGCAGGAGCGCGGCCGCCGAGCGCCGGGCGTGGCTCGAAAAGCCGGGGCCTGGTTTGGGCCGTGGGGTGCCTGGCCGTTGGGGGCTCTGCGGGGCGGCCGCGGGCGGCTGCTGGGGGTTCGGTCCCCGCGGGGTGGCGAGCTGCTTGGCCATGGCCTCCCTTGGGGGGCCATTGCCCGGGCAGCTTGCCTGTCGGGGTGTCCTCGGGCTCCTCGTCGCCGTCTCGGTGGGCCGCCGATGCGCCGTCGAGGTACTGACTGGCTTTAGGCCGCTTGCTCATCTCATCTCATCACCTCCTCTCCTCTCCTCTCCTCTCCTCTCCTCTCCTCTCCTCTCCTCTCCTCTCCTCTCCTCTCCTATCCTCTCCTCTCCTCTCCTCTCTCTCTCTCTCTCCTCTCCTCTCCTCTCCTCTCCTCTCCTCTCCTCTCCTCTCCTCTCCTCCTCCTCCTCCTCCTCCTCCTCCTCCTCCTCCTCCTCCTCCTCCTCCCGCTCCTCCCTCCTCCCGCCCTTGCCTCGCCCCTCCGCAAATCGACCAATTTGGCACTCCACTCAGTGCGGCACACCCGTCAAACGCTTCGTGGCCCCATAGGGAGCGCCACCGAAGGCCCAGATGCCAGCGCTCGCACGCGCCCACCGCACCCACTCTGAGCACACCCCTCACAGGCTTCGTGGCATCATCGGGAGATCCACCGAAGGCCCAGATGCCAGCGCTCGCATGCGGCCACCGCGCCCACTTTGGCACACCCCTCGCACGTTTCTGGCGACCTACCAGACCAACCCAACCCAACCCGACGACCCGAACTTCGGGTTGGGGGGTACGGGTTCCATATGTTTTTTTTCAATGTTCCCCGACGCCCCCCCCCTCACTGGAAATGGACGGCACATCGGGGCTTTTGGGTTGGGTTGGGGTGGTTTGATGGGCGGTGAGTTACATGGCCCCATCGGGAGATCCACCGAAGTCCCAGATGCCAGCGCTCGCATGCGCCCACCGCACCCATTTTGGCACGCCCCTCACACGCTTCGTGGCCCCATCGGGAGCTCAACCGAAGGCCCAAAACCAGCGCTCGCATGCGGCCTCCGCACCCATTCTGGCACACCCCTCGCACGCGTCGTGGCCCCATATGGGGGCTCCACCGAAGGCCCAGACGCCAGGGCTCGCATGCGCCCGCCGCACCCATTCCCTCATGTGTTTCGTGGTCCCATATTGAGCTCCACCGAAGGCCCAGATGCCAACGCTCGCATGCGCCCACCGAGCTCATTTTGGTACACCCCTTGCATGTTTCGTGGCCCCATAGGAAGCTCCACCGAAGGCTCACATGCTAGCACTCGCATGCGCCCACTGTGCTCATGTTGGCACACCGCTCACACGTTTCGTGGCCCCATCGGGAGCTCCACCGAAGGCCCACCTGCCAACGCTCGCATGCGCCCACCGCGCTCATTTTGGCACAACCCTCACAAGTGTCGCACGCGGTGCATACGACGAAGGTGCCAACAACTGCATCTGATTGGATTCTTCGCCAGACTATGCGTGTCACATGTTCGGCGTTTCTGGCTTGTTCTGGTTCCCGTCGCTCCAAGACGGCCCGAGAGGCTCCCAACATCGCCCAAAGACTGCCCAAGAGGCCCCCCAGACGGCCCCAAGACAGCCAACGAGGGCCCCAAGACGCTCCAAAAGGCCTCCAAGACGGCCCCAGAGGCCTCCTAGAAGGTTCCCACAGGGGTCCCCCAAACGGACACTTCGAGCCCGAGGCTCCCAGAAGCCCCCAAAAGGCCCCAAGAGGTCCTCAAGAGGTCCACAAGAGGCCCCAGGAGGACCCCAAGAGGCCTCCAAGAGGCCTCCCAGGAGGGCGCCAGGAGGCACACATCCCAGCGAACAGCCGAGGGGCCTAGGACCCACGATCCAAGCACGGTGGGGCGGGATGGGCCGAAGGCCATTAGAACTCACACCAGCGCCACGTAGTGCCGCAATGGTTTAGCTTGTCCGCTCAGTGACATTGGGCAGCAGCCATGCGCGAGCTCCCACAAGCCGCAGCAAAAACACAGTTTTCGCTTGACTGAGGGCTGCACGTGGGCTAAACTGGCAATTACATATAATACGCAGCAAGACAATGGCGCGAAGAAAGCCCTCGCGAAGTTCGTAATACGAGCACGTTCCAGCGACAGGGTTCGAGAACGTGGTCGCAACGTTCGTCACCATTAGCTCAGGAATGTGGCACCGCATGAGATTTGCGATGCTGGCTCAGGTCAGAAGGCCAGGCAGGACTCGGGGGTCTCTGGGCGCATCCTGGGCTAAGCGCCGCTTGGGAACCGCTTTGGGCTTGCTGGGGCCCTCTGGAGAGCCTCTCTCCGGGCGTGTTGGAACCCTGAACGGGGCCTCTTTATGGATGTTGGGTCCGTCTTGTAGTGGATGGCTCGAGGGCCGCCCCGCTTTCCATCTCGTTGGCCCCCCCTCGGGGTGGTCTTGGGGGCTTCTGGGGCCGTCTTGGAAACTTCCTGGGCTGCCCTGGGGCTCTTCTGAGCCGTCTTTAGGCGATCATGGTGCCTCGTAGGCCGCGGTGCCGCGGCCTCCGGGTCGCATCGGAGGCGGTCTGGCGGCGCTGCAGCCCGAAAAGGCGAGACGAGCTTTTCCCTTGAACGCGTAACAGAGAAATCCATGAATGCTGCTTCTTGGGGCCCTATTGTGAGTCCTCTTGGGGCCTCCTTGGGCAGTTCGGGGGCCTCGCGGGCCGCCTGTAGGCCACGCGAGGCCGTGCTGATCCAGGGTTGCGGGTGTGCCCCCCTTCGGGGTCCCGTGGGACCGTTTTGAAGCCGTCTTGGGGGCCTGTTCGGCCGTCTTGTTGCCCTCTTGGGCCATCTTCGGCCATTCTGGACCGTCTGGGGGGTTGGGATGAACATGTTCTGGGGCGGTCTGGGGGCCTCATGTTGGGCGTGTTGGGGACCTCTTGGCCTGTCTGAGGAGATCTTGGGGGCCTCTTGGGTCATCGCATGTGCTCTGAAGGCCGAAATGGTGGCAGTCTACGATGATATATATATATATATTATATATATATATATATATATAATATATATATACATGTATATATAAACATGTATATATTTATATGTATATATATATATATATATGTATAACACGTTTGCCTCTCGGGGGCTTCCTGGGTGTCCTCTCGGGGCCCCGTTGGGCTGTCTTGAGAGCCTGTTGGGCCGTCTTCGGAACTTTGGGTCGTCTTTGTCATGTCTTGGTCGTCTTACGGGGGATCTTCGAGGCCTCTTTGGGGATGCCGTGGCCTCTGCGGGTCTTCTGGGGCCCTCCAAAGCTGTCTTGGAGGACATCGCCTGCCGCATCAAGAGGGAACGGGCGACTGCCCAGAGCTCTTCCGCCTCTCCAGGGCCCCGAAGCAGTCATGGGGGTTGGGGAAGCTACGGTGCCCAGACAAAAAGTGTCCACACCCATGGCGGGAAGCCGATGCAACATGATAACAACCACAACTGTGAAATGCCCTTGCCTTGCACCCCTCCCCCCTAGGGGAAGGGGGGTATACATGTTGGCCCGACGTACTTTAATGACTCCAGGTCTTAGCAAGACACATGTGGACACTGTTAGTCCATCCGCCGTACCCCAGGGTCCCCCACCCTTGTCGCCAGAGACAAACAATACACACCAAACGTTGACAGGAAGCGAAACGGATCCGAGAGAGGCCATAAACCTCTGAAGCGGTACCATACGGCCACGGATTGTTGCGCGCCTTTCGCGAGCGCTCGAATTCTAGTCCCTGGAAGCCCAATGCACGGGGATCGGCTCGAGTAACTGTCGCTCCCGGCTTCGGCCGAGGAAAACGACGGCAACTCCCTCGGTCCTCGAAATAGAGGCCCTGTCTGGGACGCGCCACCTGACGCGTGAGTAGTACGCGCCGCGCGTGCAATCTACCCTGCTTGGTGAACCGCGGCCGCGCGCTGCACTTGGCGAGGTTGACGCCGCAATGCGCGGGGGGGCACGGGGGGGGGGGCGGGCCCGGACATGGTCAGCATGGCCATGATGGGTCACAGCAAGCCCCTGGTCCACGACGACGCAGCGCAGCGGGCAAGCAGGGTGACATGTGTTTATCCCCCCCGCCGGGCCGCGGGCCGCCCGCGCGGGGATCGCGCGGACGAAAATGCAAACATGCGCCGCCGCGGGGGGGGGGTCCCAGGATTCTTCTTGGAGACCCCATCGGGACACCTCGGAAAGATTCGCTTGCAAGCCCCACTTTGGAATTTCAGACGCGCAGACACGGGAGGGCGATCCAATTGCGCGGGCTGCCTCGTGGATCGCGGAAGGACAGCGCGACGGCAACGCTGCACTGGGCCCAGAGTCCACGGCGACCCAGCCACACCACTCACGGCGCCGAGAAGACTTCGTCGTGCGAGAGGAACGCCAGCATTATTTTTGCGATTGCAGCAAACATGCAAGGCGTCGGTGTTCCAATTCTCGGCGTCGCAAGCCAACCAGACAGACGCAAGCAATCTCAGAGGGGGATGTTCAGCGGCAGAGGGCGAGCCCCTTCAGACAAGCCACGAAAGTTGCGGACCAGTACTCTACCAACAAGGATACGAGCTGATGGGTCGAAGGGCCCTTGCGAGCAGGGCTGTGTTGGCACGGGCGGGACAAAGCCAATCTCGTTTCTGGCCTGAGCGGTTGGGTTTTGAAGCGTTTGGGCATATCCAGCCCCCCTCTCGTCCACAAGTGCTGCCTTCTGCTTGCCTGAGGGGGTGGTGAACTGGGGCGGCGACGAATCCGCGAGCCATGGTTGGGGGGATGCCACCCTATCCATTGAACCATTGCCCGCTTTCCGACCCCACCTCTCAAAACATCTCTGCCCCCAGTCCCGTCGCCGTCGCGCAACAGCCTCGATGACGAGGATGGAATAGGAATTTCGCCGCGCCAGTCTGTCATCAGCGTTATGCTCCGGG